TTTACAATCAAAGGGGTTGTGTCCAAAAGCCTCACAATGGTAGCAGTAGCAGGGCATATCCTCATACTCAATTTTTTGAATGTAATCCCCACCATTGTAAGTAACCTTGACATTCACAGGAGGCTTAACCGTGAGATCCATGTCTATCATAACCCTGCAGAAGTTAACCCTCCTGTAGTCCCCATCAGGATTAGGTTCCATTGAGGTGTCATACACAGATGCAGCAGTGTGGGTAACTCCATCAGAGTACAGAGGTGTCCCAAGGAAAGAGGCAATGTGTGAGAGCCCCAGTGGAGACCAAAAACCCATAGGGACATCTAAGAGTTTAACCCAGACAGGCATGGTTGCAAAGGACTTGCAGTTCCACATGAAATCTTTCTCAGGAATTTTTAGTAACAATTTCTTGTTACCAATGGAAAGTTCTTCAGCTTTCATAGTAAGAACTGTTTGTCTATGCTCTTCCCTCCAAAATTTGAGTACAATCCATCCTTTTCTATGTGGCAAAATCTCACAGGGAATACTCCATTGATCCACCATTTTTTGGATGGCCTTAAGCCCTGGGAATTTTCCAGAGAAACATCCCACAAGGCAGTATCCCCACAACTGTTCAATTGGAAGGATTGCTTCATCAGGAATAAACACCTCTTCAGTGCTGTTAAGCTCAACCTTGAATAATTGCATCCCTTGGGTAGCTTTCCTATTGTTTTTCAGAAGTTCAGCATAGGTTTTCTTCGGAACTGGCTCAGGCTTTTCCTCAAACACCTTGGGGGTGTTCTTATTTTTTTCCAATTCTTTCTCAACTGCCTCTTCATCAACAGAAGGAGTATCAGAACCAGTGGAGGTGCCATTCCCATCCTCAGCCGCAACATTCTCATCTTCATTAATATCATTCACAGACTGATTATCATCACTAGACGTACTATCCGAGTTCTCAAGAGTATCCAAAGTGACCTCATCATCCACATTCAACTCCGGAAGCTTCTTCTTCGGAGGAGTTGGAGGTGTAGGTTCCTTGGTCCTATTCTTCTTCCCCATAGCGTCGTATGAACATCAAAAGAAGGAAGCCATACTTACTTGGAAGATCTGAACAGGAACGAAGAAACCCTAGTAGCGTTGACTTCCAACCACAACGAGATCGGAAGAAACCACCAGTGAGGAGAATCTCCTTGAAGAAGAGAACACGAATCTGGCCTCGGGTAAGGACGAAACCACCGGAAGAACGACGAAAATGAACGGCAATGGCGTCGAGCTACAGTAACTCAATCGCCAGAGAGAAGTCTCGATCGAACATTATTGAGGACTGTAGTATGAGAGCTCTTTCTGTTGAAATCATTCCAAAATATATATGTGATGCATATATAAGTCATCTATGTGTTAAGACCAAAATACACCAAATTCATAAAGTTAATATATATACATATGTATATTTAACCATTCGAAATCAACCCAACAACATGTATATGTTAATCAAAGGTGTTTAAAAGACTTAAAGAAGTATTTTTGGACACTCAAAATATCAAGAGATAGATTCGCAGACCCAAACGGTCGACGCAAACGGTCGACCGTCGTATTAAACTTCGAAACGGACCGCGACTGCCAGCAGAACGGCCGACCGCCGTCGGCGAACGGTCGACCGCCGCCAGCCAAACGAAGTCCTCCATCCGCAGCCAGTTAACAACGGTCGACCACCGGTCAACCACGGTCGACAGTCACGGTGATCCGTCAAATCCGACCTGATGAAGATCAAGGTCGACCGTCGCGCCAAACGGTCGATCGTTCCGAGCCCTGTAGCTGAATTAAATGATATTTTTATCAGATTTCACCCAAATAAAATAAAGTTTTATCCATTCATATTATTTACAAATTGTTCATATAAAATGACTCATATAATCACACATATTGTAGCATATCATATCATATGCATGCGTAAGAGATCATGCGTAATTGCGTCTCTTATAGCGTGGTTGTGCGCGACTTAGTAGTCCGACAACCCTGACCGGGCTTAGTGTACGTACATGGTATTCAGACTTTCGAGTACCACCCCTATTTTTTCTAGTCTCCCTTGTGAGACTAAGAAGGACATGAGTTCGTCGTACCAAATGGGCGAATCTCATAGTTGCAAGGTCGTTCCTTGTTGACTTAGAATCATACAGCATGAAATCATCATCAAGTATAGTTATATTGATTACATAGGTGTCATGTAATCATCACCAAGAGCTAGCAAATTGAAGAAATGTGCCATCATGTAATTATCAGTAAATATTTATCATCATGAATCATCAAATTGATCATATGACATAATGTGCCATATCATGAACATTATTATACACTTTGCGGACGTATATATATGTATATGTATATGTCTGTGAATTATTCTACAATTCTAGCGTGGTACCACTCAGCGGTTTCGCTGAGCGTGTAGTTTGTATTTTTTTCGTTGACTACACGTAGGTAACAAGAAGACAATGATGGAACCATTCCCGGAGGGCATTGAGTCAGCGGAGATGCAAGGATGGCAGGCAAATGTTTGGTCATCAGATATTAAATGTGTCATGATTTGATTATTATTGTACTTCCGCATTACTCTGAAAATATTTTTAAATGGGTCGCGATCCAGAATCTGTAAATTTAATATTTATAAGAAATTGTCATTTTCAAATGTCAAGCGAAATTTTTATTTATCCCTCGTTTCACCTTAATTTGTGTAATTCCGGGTTAGACGGATTGGGGTGTTACAGAAAAGCTATATTATGGAGTGGTTTTTGATGAAGAAATGAAGTGTTTAAATGGGGGAAAGTGGATGGACGAAATTGGGAGAGAAAGAGGGGATTCTTTTGTGGTTTTTGTTGTATAAGGATAAACCAAATAATGAATAAGAGATCAACACACTCTTATTTTATCTAGGGCTGTTTCTTTTCCCACAATAATGTTCACTATTATTATATGAAATAGACTCCTAACACACACTCAAAAGTAGCCAACTTCAGAGATATTTCATTAGGAAAGTGAGAGAATTAGCTTCACACCAACTCAGATATTACTTCAAGGAGTAAAGAAATGGAATACAATGAATGAATTTTACAAGGCCATAGGGACGAAATATATAGGGAGAAATAGCAAGGAAACTTCACCACTCTATCCTACAATTCAAGTGCATAATGTCTATTTGATGGATCCGATAGGTTGTCCTCATTGATCAAGGCTAAAAGGGGTTCAAGGTGGTGAAATGGGCTGTCTTTGGGTTGGGAAATTCGTCCATGCGAAGGGTAGGGTGAGGGAGTGTGTCCTTTTGTCCATTTATGCAATGTAAGGTATGTGACACATCAAGGGATTGATTGTTTATTCCTTTGGCCTTATTATAGGTGTAAGAACTGATTTGGGGGGATGTTTGGGGGGAGGAATTCGGCCATGGGACAAAGGGATGTGTGGGGGGATGGTTTTGAATGATTTTCACACCAAGACAAAAGACATGTTTAATCATTGTCTCCTGATTTGGTCTTTTGTGTTTTGTAATGGATTGGGATGGATTCTAAGGCCAAAAGGGGATGTATTTTCGTGGGTTTGAAGTAGGAAAAGGTGGGGGAAGGTTTAATTCAAAGTAGGGAATATTAGGAAAGAAAACAACACACACAAAGCAATTTTGTTTGTCCTTGTCTCTTGGATTTTCGGCCATGGCTTCAAAGGGAGGTGAAGGACTTTATTTTGGTTAATAAAGACAAATGAAATACTTTTGGATATGTGGGAGTGTGTTGGGCTTGTAGGAATTTCGGCCTAGGTTGGGTTTTAGGAGAGAAGTGTCAGGGTTCAGGCTTTATTGTGGGACAGGTCAATGAGTTCAACCCAAAATGGATCATAACACCTAGACCTTAAACACTTGACTTGTTGTAATACTATTGGCGTGTGTGAAGGTGCATCCTGGGGTATATCACACTCAAAAGTAGCCAACTTTAAAGATATTTCATTAGGAAATGGGGAGAACTAGCTTCGCACTAATTCAAATATTTTACTCAAAGAGTAAAGAGAATAAAAATACAATGTGGTACTGCATTACAAGGCCCTTGGCCGAAATAAATAAGGGGAAGAAAAACTAAGGGGAAGCTTCTTACCACTTTCCTAGAATCAAGTGTATAATATCCATTTGTTTGATGCCTTTGGTTTGTCTT